CCCAGAAAAAACTCCCCACCACTCTTACATCCTCAACTCTCTCATTCCAGATTCTAAACCCAGGCCAGAGGATCTAACAATACCTAGATTAAGTACACAGGCCTTTCCTTCTCAGGAATGAAGTAAAGAGCTGGCTTTTGTAGCAATTCTAGTCCCATTATGACTCATAGGGAAAAGGTTCAGATGCGGGGCTGCCAAAATAAAATGAGAAACTGCAAGTTGTCCTCCCAGAAGGAAAAAAAAAGCTTCCAGATCAACATGATTCTATAAACACTCTAAGGTTTCAAAACTGCTCTCAGATGGCTATTGCTTCCACCAAACTCCTTCTTTACCTTACTCAGATTTACCTTAATCAGGAATCTGTAAGTTACAAGTGACAGAAACAATTAAAACTATTATGCTGGGCCAGTGTCGTAACTCAGTGGTAAAGTGCGTGTCTAGTATGCACAAGGCTCTGGATTCCATACCCAGTACTGTAAAACAACAAGAAGAAAACAAACTATTGTGCTATTTTTGTGTGTTGTGTTTTGAGACAAGGTCTCACTATGTAGTTCAGTCTGGCCTTGAACTCACTATGTATCCCAGGCTGGGGCCGGAGATTTAGCTCAGTGGTTCCGCTGCCTGCCTTGCAAGCTTAAGGACCCGAGTTCGATCCCTAGTACCAAAAAAAAAAGAAAGAAAACTATGTACACGAGGCTGGCCTCAAACTTGCAGCAATCCTTCTGCCTCAGCCTCCTAAGTGCTGGGATTATAGGCGTGTCACCACGCCCAGCAAGTGCTACTTTTTAGGGAGAAGAATATTCTCTCAAACAAGTAGAAAGTAAAGGTGCTTGGTTCAAAGGCCCCAGTGATGTCGGTGGGCCCCCTCTCATCCCTCTGCTCTGCTCCCATGTTGGCCCTCCCTCATCACCATGGTTCTCCCTGTCATGGGGTAAGACACAGGCTTACATCTCAGGCATGCATCCTGTCCTCTCAGCATGCCCAGGAAAAAAGATTCTCTCAACCCAGCAGCGCTTAGAAGACCTGGGATGGCATCTCACTTGGCTCTAATGTGTCCATCGTTCAACCGGCCACAAAGGGCAACTCAGCCCATGGTAGGGATGGATTTCCTTGTACATTGTAAGGCATTTAGTATCCTTGGTCTCTACCCACTAGATGCCAACATCACTGTTATCTCCAACCCCAGCTGTGAAACCAAAAATGTCTCCAGATGTTGCCAAATGTCCCCTAAAGGGACAATCATCCACTCTTTGAAAACCACCAAAGTAGGAAGTATGAGAACAGAAAAGAAGGGTTCTAGAAAAACACTTACTGAGGGCCAGGGATTTAGCTCAGTGGCACCGCATCTGTCTTGCAAGCAATCGCAAGGTCCTGAGTTCGAGCCCCAGTACTGGAAAAAAAAAAAAAACACTAACTGAGAAGGGTGAACCTAAGTCAGCTGGCCCAGCAGGATCCTCTGCAGTTCCAGTTCCTGCACAGCTAGAGTTCTGGGAAGGAGGATTGGCTTCCAGGACATTAGGTATCAGAGCCAGAGGTCTTCTGGTCCTGATCAAAACTTCACCGGGGCTTGTCCTATACAGCACCACAGTCTCTTCGGTAATCCACGTTTAATGTTATTACAGCCCTAACTTACTGATGACACTCCTGGTGCAGGATGCCCCTGATGCTTCCGTGCACTTTCTCAGTCATCATACTAACACCCCAAAACAGGTGCAAACTTCATGTTACAAAGGTGAGAACCAAAGCTCTCAGTAATTGGCCCCCAAATCCTTGTTAATAAGTGCTGGCTGGGATTGCAAGCTATGTCTATGGGCCTCCAAGGTCCTCGCCTTTTCCATGCTCCCTGGCCCTTCTGCATTTCCGCTGCTGATCAAATATCCCATCTAAACGCCCATGACTTATCATTTCTGTTCCTGGTTCTTCTTTGTTTGAGATCTTAATATTTTCTTTCCTTCTTCCTCCTGTACCCTATGGAATATAATTTGAAAGTTTAATCCTTTTATCCCTACAGGCCAGAAATAACAAAGGAAATTAATAACAGTAATTGCAATTATTTCTCACCCTCAGAAGAATGACATCCTTCACGATTTCTGTTGGAAATCTGGTCATTTCAGAGGTTTGTTTTGTGCTCTCATTTAGAATTGTGGGTTTTTAAGCAATGATTTTAGACAAATCATAGTACAATGAAAAAGTTTATGCCCAAGACTGGGTTTTCACTTTGACCCTACTACAGATTTCCTGTGTGATCTAGGAAAATGACTTAACACCTCTGAATCTCATTTTTTCAACCATTAAATTGGGGACCTGGACTTAGTAATCTACTAGGACTCTAAGAATTTGATGGAGGCATTAAGTATAGAATTAATTCCATGACCATTTAAAAAGCTTTGAAATATTTAGAATAGGTTTCAAATAAGTAGCAAGGGCTGCTTCACAGGGAGGTGGCTGGAATAACAGCTCGCAGCTTGCTTCAGCTGTACTCTGTGAAGACAGAGAAGGGGCAGGGTAGTGTCACCTGAGTCCTGATATAGTGTTCATTAAAAATGCATGCCCCGGCTGAAGGAGGACACCTAGTGAATTAGTGATGGCCCTCAACATCTATGTTGCCAGGTTGACAAGGGATCTGGACAGGGAGCAGAGATGGAGCACAGAGTGAGACTCTGCAAAAGGTTGATATAAACAGAGCAGGGCTCAGAAATGCCCCTTCAAACAGCTTTGAATGCAACCAAGGCGCAGCAGCTTGCTGCCAAGGATTAGGTGAGCGTATTTCATTCAGCAGAAGTCAGGACAGAAGCTGTGGCTCCCAAACAACCAGGGCACACACGGTGTAACACCACTGTCAACCGCGGCAGTGCAGAAGGAAGGGCACCCTGTAGAGATGGCAGGGTGGCCTGTTCCCTGGCCGAAGCTGGGGACCTCTGCAGGTAGAAAGGAATTTGCAGAATGGATGCCCTCTTTCTTTCACACACCCCTGGGTCAGCTGTTGTCCAATTGTTTTTCCAGTTTTAAGGCCTCAGAAGGGGAGTCTAATGGGTCCTAACACCTTAAATATTGGAAACCCAACTGGGGACACTTACCTGAGCTTCATGGTGATGGTGACTGGAAGGCTTTAAAAGAAAACCCCTGGAGAGAAGCCAGGGAAAGGAACCTCTTCCCCTTCCCCCACCATGTGCCACATCGCTAACCTTCCTGCTCCATATCTTCATATTCCATGTGGGAATATGGACCAGGGGACACTGGAAACTCAGTTCCCCCTTTGACCCTGCAAGTCCTGAACAAATACAAAAGCCAAGTTGGGTAAGGACCAGCCTGGTAATATTGACAGAGTTGGCCCCAAGCAGTGGAGAGAAGTGAGAGGTGAGGGGATGACTTCACATAAGGGGAAGATTTTGCATGAGACGAGTGAGGGGAGGCAGGTCATCGGGCTCCAGGCCAGGTATGGTATATGGGCAACACGTAAAATTTGCAAAAATTGTAAAGCCACAGCTAAAAGAAAATCATCTTCCACATTTTTGTGTATAAGAAAACTGCTGACTCCTCCAGGCAGAACAAAGCATCTTCCATCCACCCCACGCACTGGGTCCTCTGCTTTGTTTTTCTTTGTATCCTAAAGGTCTAGAACAGTCTCCAGCATATGGAACAGGCTCAGTAACTATTCAATGAATGAATGAAGATTTAATCATCAGTCTTCCTATTAAACAGTAGACTGCTTTTTAAAAAAAATTTAGACTCTGTTTAAAAAATTATTTCCATATTCCTAAACCAGTGTCTGTCATGCAGTAAATGCTGAATAAATGTTTTTTGAATGAGGTGAAAGTTTCCATCACCAACATCAGGTAACATTTGCTCTCCATGGTGTCCTAGAAATCATTTGCTCCCACCCTACACCACCCATTCCCTCATCCCTCACCTAAATTCTAGATGAATTTCTGAGTTGTTCTCTTGACAAGCAATACATTCACTTCTTTTCTCTCCAAAAACATGTGTGCAAATCATTTGTTTTGGCTTCAGATCAAGCCAGGCAAATGTCTAGCCCCCTTCAACAGCAGAAAAATAAACATGGAGTAAGGACATGGCTTAAAGGAAGAGAAAATGTCTACTTCTTTTTGTTGATCTAAGGAGCTTATTTTACAAGAAACTGTGTATTTGTAGAATTATAAATGAGAACCTCCAGACCTCCCAGGCTCCCTCATTAATCCTCTTGGGAGGACATGGCTCACAGGACAGTACCTCCACCACCATATCTGCACAATAGATATAATTACTATTATTAGGGTGAGTGGCATCAACACTATCATTAAAAATGTTGCATAATCTTACATTCTTGTTTTTGTCTATGGTAAATTAAGATCATTTCCATGTCTTCTTGAGAGGATTCAGCTGTCCTGCTTCTCTTTCTTTGCCCACCACCCTCTGCTCTCTCCATCTACCCCCCCCACACTCCCCTACTCCCCCACTCCCCTGCTCCTTCCCCCTTCTACTCCCACACCATTCATTGACTTCCAATCATTTTCTCTGGAGTCTAACCGAAAGTCTCCCTCTTGCCCTTTTAATTTTAGGTTGTGATATCTAAAACACAGTCACAATCCTTTATTTTTCCCTGCCTTGTGCAGACTTCCGGTAGGAAATCCACTTGTCTCCCAGAGTTCTTGGCTGTGGTTCTCTGATGCTTGGGAACTGAGCTTTAGGTGGTAAGTTCAAAGTCCATCCAGTGGTGGAGAAGTGGAGTGAAGGCCACCCTCTGGCTGGGAGTAAATGCCAGCTCTGAAATCAGGGAGTCTGAGCAAGCCAGGTGTTAAGAAAAAGCTAAAACAATTATGAAATTACCACTTTGGGGGGTGGGTACCGGGGATCAAACTCGGGTCTTTGCGCTTGCACAGCAGGTGGAGAAACCACTGAGGTAAATCCCCGGCCCTTATATTTGTTTTTTAAAGCTACAATTACTATAAATGACTACAACCAAGGTGACTTAAAACAACAGCAATTTATTCTGTCACGGTTATAGCGGTCAAAGGTCCAAAATCAAGGTGCTGGCTTCCTCAGAAGGACATAAGGGAAGATCCCTCCATGCTTCTTAGATTCCAGAGGCTCCTGACAATACTTGGTGTCCTTTAGCTTTTCCAGTTGTCACTTCAGTCTCTGTCTGCATCTTTACAAGGTCTTCCTCCTTGTGTGTGTCCACCTGTCCTTGCCTCTTCTTTTAAGGATATCAGTCATTGGATATAGGACCCACTTTTATCTATTTTATCTCATCTTAACTAATTACATCTTCAAAGACCCTATTTCCAAATCTGAAGTTCAACCCAGCCTGTGATTTCAAACACATAGGAAGATAAATAGCTTTTTTTAAAACATTTTTTCTGGGATTTCTTCCTATCCTCTTGATTAATGTTCAAATACCATCTGGCAGAGAAATGAAAGCATATATTTTAGTTGGGGGGTGTCTTGTTGAATCACAAAGTTTCCACAAAGCTAATTTAAATTTAAGGACCTCAAAAAATTTTTTGAAAACAATCCCCCTTGATGTTTCTTTCAACCCAGTGCACATCTCTCCTCAACAGAAAAGAGTCCTTTCCTTCTGTGCCTCTCACCTCCCCAACCTGGGGACCACCTTAGGGTGCTTCTTTGCCTGAGAAGTAAAGGACATACTATGAGTACAGCAAAATGTCAAGGGACTGAAGCGCGAAAGAAAATCCACTAGGGCTTTAGATTACGAGCTTTGTGTAGACTTGTCTTAAACCAGAGTCCAATAATATTCAGTAGCTAGAGCTCAGCTCTCATAATACTTAAAAGAAATTTCCAAGTCCTACATTCACAGACTCATAGTAAAAGGCACAAGTCCATTCTCAAGACATTTCAGGTCTAAAACCCTGAGTTTCAAAGATAAAAGAATAACCTAAGCAAATTAATTTTTTAAAACCCATTGGTTCTCAATCAGGAGCAATTTTGTCCACAAGGAAACCTTGAGCAATGTCTAAAGACATTTGTAGTTGTCATGACTGGGTGCGTGTTGCTGGCACAGGAGACCAGGGATGCTGTTCAGCATCCTGCAGTGCACAGGCCAGCCCTTCACAGCAAAGAATTAGCCAGCCCAAAACATAAACAGTGCTGATGTCAGAAGCTCTGATCCAGCATGTAGAGAAACTCTTTAAAACCACACTCTGATCATGTTTCTGTCTTGCTCAAATGCCTGCACATTCATTATCTTTGAGAATTCAAGCTCCTTGGCCTTTTAAAGCTTCTAGAGCTTTCCCCAGGCTTCCCTTTCCAACCTTCTCTCTTACTACCCCCTAACCCAAACCTGTCTACCCATGGCCCTGGGCCTGCATGTGATCTGCTGAAGACTTCCACAGTTGCGTTGGACTTTAAAATGTCTCCTTCCAGCCTCTTCCCCCATCCTCATTCTTCCCTATCCTTCGAGGACCAGTGCAAGTTCTGCCTCTTTCCAGAAGTTCTCTGGGGCCACCCCTCTCCATCTCATCCTGCATCCCTTTCCACCTCACTCAGTATCCTCCAACCACAGAGGTCTCCTCACTGTCCCACTGATAGACTCAGCTTGTCTCCACCTCTTTCCTTGGGTACTTGTGTGACTTGCTGCTCCTTTCACTTTAGGTTTCAGCCTAAGTGTCATATCCCAGTGTCTTACTCACTTCCCAAGTTCTCTATCATCACTCTACTGGGTTTCTTCATACAACCTATCTCTATAGTATCATACCAGACTATCCAGGCTAAGGACAAGAGTGTCCCTTGTTCATCTAGGTATCGTAGCCCTTTCCCAATACTGTGAATCTGGCTCAAAATAAAAGCTCATACATATTTGTCAAATGAACGAATGAGTGGCCTTACTCATTGCAGGAGAACAATCACTTTCTTCCAGTGGCCTGTAGTAGAGAGGCTGGTTCTTAATCCCTACTTCCTATTCTTCCATGATTGTAGAATTTTCAGGTGGGACATGCCACCTAGTTAAAGACCATATCTCCAGGCTCCTTTGCACTTAGGTATGGCCATGAGGCAAAATTCTGGAAATGAGATGAAAATAGAAGTTATGTGCCAGCTTCCCAATGGTGCACTTGAAAGATGAATGCATTCCCTTTCTTTCCCACTTCTGGTTTATATGTGGACATGGTATGGCCCACCATGTGGGTGAGAGCAATATCCAAAGATGACAGAACAGTGAAATCGAAGACAACATGGTCAACAATATCGTAGCTGCCATGCAGCCTTCATGAGAGGTCAAGAAGCTTCCATGGTTTCCTAACTTTTCTCTAAATTAGCAGCACCATCTCCATTTTGCCAAACTGAGGTACATAAGTCATGTGCCCATACTGCTCAATGAAACCAGGAGAGATTTTGGACATTAAGTCAGTATCTCCTGGGATGTTTCTCTTTCAGCCCTTTCTGTCATCCAAACTTCTCCTCATTGACCTGTCCTTGCCCTTCTCCTACCTCCAACCGTAATATTACTCAGGGGCACTTGTCAGGCCTCACATCATCTCAATCATAGATATTTTAAGAGGCCCTGAGCAGGCTTATCTCCTGCCTGAAATGCTTTTTACATTCCCAGATGGAACTTTCCCCATTTCTTTTTCTCAGCTTTCCCTGGGGTTTTGCTTACTGTACAGGAGGGCAGCACGGTTCCTTCAGACTAGTCATGAAGATGCCTCTAGAAGGGTGACCTCAGCTTGTCACTGCAGATTGGCTTCAGGTTGTTAGAGACCCCACTTACTCATGCAACAAATGTTAAGTACCTGCCCAGTTGTTAGCCTAGGCACTGAACAGACAGATAGAGGCAGATATCCCATTTTAGTAGGAGAGAGACAGACAAAGAAGAAGACAGGGAGATAGAGAAAGGAAAGAAGGGTGAGAAGGGGAGGGAAATTGGGAAGAAAAAAAATGAAGTCTTTTTAGATTGTGATAAGAGCACTGTGAAGAAGATACAGTGAAATCAGGGAGGTCACTACCAGGAGACACTGATCTGAGGTACAAATGATAGGAGGCCAGTTGTGGGGATGATGGTATGGGGAAGGGGGCAGCAATGCCAATGCCCTGGGGTGGGAACATTCAGTGTGCTGAGAGGCAAATGGAAAATGCTTATGGCTACAGTGAAGTAAATGAGAGGGAGAAAGGAAAAGAGGGGTTCCGTTCACGCCTGCCGGTCAGAAGTCCACACACAGAGTTGGAAAGACCAGAAGAGAGGAGACAAGAAGCCCACCTTTAACTAGAGCTCTTACCAACAAGAGAAGAACTTAAGAAACCTCTGGAGATCTGAGTTCATGTTCCAATTCCTCCACCCTTCCCCATCTGATGTCCTTCAAAGCGCACACCGCCTGCAGGGTTCCTGGGTGAGTACCCTGCAGGTGAAAAAAGATTCTTGCCTTAAAATCCCCTTTTTCTACATTGTAACATTCTAGCACAGATGGCCCAGCCTCAGCTTCCAGCAACCCGAGACAAGGGGCCCAGTCACGAGGAGATGGCTCTTGGAACTCACTGTATGTCTTTGGACTTCAGATTTACCTTGGAAAGGAACATAGATGTCTCAGAGAATGTCAGCCAATTAGAATATAAATTCTAGAATCTACCTTTTGTCTCTTTTTTTTTTTTTTTTGGTAAGTCGTGGTGACTTCTGTCTCAGTGGCATACCTTCCATTCTCCATAATTTCACTAAAGTAACTGTTGGCAGCTTGGTGGTTAGCTATTTATTCAATGCCTGTGCTTTTGATAGGGAGACATGGTGGGCAGGTCATGGTCTCCTCCTTCAAGAAGCCTGAAGCCAGATATTGAGCAAGTAATTTCCGGGTGATAAGTGCCGTGGAAGAGAAAGTCAAATTCCTTCAGCAACAGCAGTGTACAAGGTCCAGCACTTGCCTAACAGAGCTCTATTCTCAAAGATCTTACCTTCATCTTGAGAAATTCATTCTATCCTTTGAAAGTTGTTTTGCTTTGTGATGAACATTGAAGAAAAAATAGGACCAACTAGTTTTGCTTTCTATCACTTCCCTGCATTACACTATCTCCCTAAGCATGACTTCACCTCATATTTCTTAATCTAGAATCAAACTATATTTTTGAGCATTGTAAGGTCAAATATGATGTGGAGTGGTAGGAAGAGTTCAACTTTTGGCCTGAGATGATCTGGCCTAGAATCCCAGCATTGCCTCCCAGAAGTCCTTACACCCTTTGAGGATAATAACTCCCATCCCCACTCACAGGGTTATTGTGAAGATCAATGTGATAATTTACATGAAAATGCTTTGTAAACTATGGAGCATTATTCCCATGTCAGCTGCTGTTTCACAATTCTTAGCATATTCTGAACTTCAGCTTTTCCTTACTCTAATATACAGATCCCTGCTATTCTTTTGTGACACCTTCATTATGTGCCACTCCTTCCATCTTTTGTTTGTGTTCATTTAAAACCTGAGCTAGAATGGCTTTCCTTCATCACCATGCTGCTCTCTTTAACAGCCTCTCCCTTTCTTCCTTGTGATTTTCTGTAGTGGTACAGACAGGGTGCAATTTAAAGCTTCTTCACCTTCCCGGGACCTTACAGAGTCATTCTCAAACCCAGATGACATTCCACTTTCCCATTTTCAAAAGTTTCTTTTAACCCAGATCAAAACTGTCTCCTGACTGGAGTCAAGCAAAGATCATTCCAGCTCTCGGCTGTTTCATGAAACCTATCTCATTTGGTGGTGGCCCTGGAGGAACTACATGGAAGCCTTGGAGTTCAGAAGGAGCCTCAGCAGTGATTCGTGTGAAAATTTGTCCTCATACTCCAAATTTTCCTTAGGGCTCCCAGACCTACCCTCAAACAGGCCTGCTTGAATCAAAAAGCCTTGCACAGCCTGGCTTTGCTAGCTGCCATGTTTCTATTCAATAACCCTACCATGAAGCATGACCTTAGCCTCCCAGGCAGTTTGCCACCGGATGCAGCCATCGATTTAAACCTGTCTGCCATTCTCCAAGGACCCACTGAGGGCAGCACAAGCATGAGCTCTTGTTGGTCCAGCAGATCATCATTGGCCCTGGTGGCTAGGGGCCAGTAGAGTTACTCTCTTCCTAACTACACAGAGGGCTTTGCACAGACGTGCTGGAAGTCAGAACAAGACTGTCATAATTCTCCTCTTGGAAAGTCTCAGTGATTGTCAAGTAATAGGGAAGTAACATCACAGGTGGGGCCTGGGGAGAAGTCAGGCAGGCAGGCAGAGAGAGGCTGTGGATTAATCCAGTGGTTAAGTAGAAACCTGTGAAAAGTCAAGTATACATGAAGCAAATCTATATCTTTTTTTTTCAATCCACTTCAGTTTTTAAAAGATTGCTGGGTAATTGCATTCCAGATGCAACTTCTCCACTGGAAGTGGTTTGCTGCCAGTGACAATGAGCAGAGAAGCAGGTGGGACACAAATCACTAGGTTGTAGAGGAGAGGGGAGTGGGTAGCCTCAAAAGGGATGCAGCCCCTGCAAGCACTGTGGAAATCAGTATGGAGATACCTCAAAGAACTAGGACTGGAAGTCCCATTTGACCCCACTATTCCACTGCTGGGGATCTTCCCCAAAGAATTAAAAGAATCATACCACAGTGATATATGTGCACACATGTTCATAGCAGCGCAGTTTGTAATAGCTAAAACTTGGAAACAGCCCAAATGCCCATCAACTGGAGACTGGATCAAGAAAATGTGGTTTTTTTATAAAATGGAGTACTACTCAGCCATAAAAAATGAGAAATTAGAGACATTTATAGCTAAATGGATGCACATTGAGGCAATACTCTTAAGTGAAATAAATAGGACACACATGTGTAAATACCCAATAGTTTCTCTGGTGTGATAAACTGAAAGTGTAAATAAGGACTAAAATGTATAATAGGTAATGTGAAATAGGAAGAAAAGGGGCAAAGGGGAAGGAAGTGGGAGGGCTAGGGGAAAGGATAGAAGGGAATGGGATTAATATGAGAAAATGGAAAAACAGGAACAAAATCTTTGTAAATAGGGAGGAATGGAGGGATTGAAGGGAGGGCTGGGCAAGGGTGAAAAATAAGAACCAAGAGAGACTATGTAAAGGTGCAAATTTCCAATGATGAATGTCATTATATTGTATACCTAAAATGTACCAGTGATTAGAATGAATAATCGATAATGTAAAATAGGAAGAAAAGGTCCAAAGGGGTAGGGGTAGTGGGAGGGGCAGGGGAAAGGAAAGAAGGGAAAGGAAAAAATGCTGAGAAATGGAAAAAACGGAAATAAAGTCTTTGTAAATAGGGAAGGGTGGAGGAGGTGAAGGGAGGGCTAGGAATGGGGAAAAAATAAGAACCAAGATGCATTATGTAAAGGTACAATTCCCAATGAGAAATGTAATTGTGTTGTATACCTACAATGTACCAATAAAAGAATTTAATACAAAAAAAAAAAAAAAAAGGGATGCAGCCCTTGACCAAAGATGCAAAGTGCAGCAGGGCTGTGGCTGCATCCTGGTTCTCAGCCTCTGACCCGTGCTTTACCAAACGACAGCACCTTTCTTTGGAGTGACTTATGAGGAATCCCAGAGGGTATGGGTATGTTTTCAAACAAAAATGTAGGAGCTGTTTGGTTAATGTGCAGAATCAAGTCTTTTTTCTTCCTCTTTCCTTTTTTTAGCCTTCTTAATTCAATCTACCCATCTTTCACAGTCATTACCAAATGTCACCGAATCCCCCAGGTCAGACAGAAACAACTATTGTTTGCTTGGAACACAGGTTCGTTTATATGCTGGAATTGAATACATCTTACAAATGGCAAATCAAGAAGCATTCTGAAAAATAAGCACTGGCAAGAGAAAAAAAAAATGTAACCTTATATTGTCCAAAACACTCAACAGGGGAAATACCATCATTTTCACTTGCTGCAATCAGAGCCATTAATAGACCTCATCTTTCTGTTGAAAATGTGTGTCCCTTTAGGTTCTGGCAATGAAAGCCTGAGGTTTTTGTTGTTATTTTGGTCATGATTTCAGAACTGTTTAAGGATTTTCTTGGAATTATTTAAGAAAGTATGCTTTCTCTGTTCTTTCTTTTTTTAATGGAAATGTTGACCAATCGGGATTTATTTAAATCCTCCTTGGTTATAGGCCTCCAAAGACAAAGCCATATCCATGGCAACAACAGGCAGCCCAGCAGAAGAGAGAGACACATCCAGACACAGAGCATAATAGCTCTGTTTACTGATGACTAAGATCTTGAAAGCTCTACTGTACATTCCAACTGGGAGCTTGGGCCAGACTCCAGGCTGTCCTCATCCTCCAGGTCCAGCATCTATAATCAGAGCCACAGAAAGGGACAGAAGCCCTTTCCAAGCCTTGAGAGTAAGGAATGTGATGCTTCTCCCAAGGCTCAGAATGATCCTACAGGAACAATAGGCCAAACTGAGAGGGAGACTGGAGCAGGGTAAGTCACAAGGGACCTCTGGAGCCCTCATGGCCTGAGGGTTTCCCTGTCTAGCTCCAGCTGAGCACAGCTGCCCTAGGAGGCAGCTTCTGCTCCAGTGATAGATAGGCCCTCAGTCCTGAGAGGCATGGACAGCAAGAGCAGCCCTGCTAGAGTTCATACCCAAGTGTTTTGTGATTTTCCCCTGATCCACTGCACCAATGTGCCTTGTTCCATCAGCCTTATCCATATGCCAATAAACACACAAAACCCAGACAGGAGCTGTGCATACCAAGCACCTCTCAGCTTTCTGACACAGGCGTAAAACAAGAACACACGTAGCTCTCATCAAATAGCTCATCACAATATGTTATACTTCTATTTGGCTGGATTTATGTGGCACAATCAATTTGGAAATAATGCTTTTGATTCCCTTTTACTGCATATATTAGTGTAATGTCCTATTAACTAATATGATGTTTTGACTTTTGGGCAATCATTTAGGAGCAAACCCTTGAGTTGAATATATCTGAGACAAATTGTCCAATAGATCCACCTTTTTTTCCCTAAAATAAACCCACACACCTCAGGAGTCTGTGTGGTAGAAAAGGTCCTAACATAGGTTCCCAGCTATCCCTAGGCCCAAGGCTATTTTAGAGGCATCAACCTCCTACTGGCCTTCACTTGTTGCTATCACCTTTAGATGTGGGTGGCTAGGCAGACCTTCAGTGAACAGGGCTGGCAGTGAGGGGAAAGACCCCAGGCCAGTTACACTATATCCCTTCCTCTCTTATCCAGGGAGAGCATGGTAATCCACCTTCTCATCCTAAAACAAAACCTGGATGTGCTGGGCCTTGCACGGGAAGTGTTCTTTTAGCTGTAGATGATGTCCTTTTACTTAACCAACATTATCAGCCATTCACAAAATGTTCTTCTCTAGAATTTGAAGATCTTTTAATGTACAACCTAGAACCCCATTTCATCTTTTTCCTCTGAATTATTGCCTTCTTTTCAGAGTGCTACCGTTCCTTATAGTTCTTTTGCAAACAAAAAGCAAGGAGGTTTTTAAAAACTCATAAGAGAAGTTTCATTCTGTTTCTCCTCCTGGAAGGCCCTGGGGAGGTTTATGAAAATGAATTTCT